ATATAATTGAAATTCCATGAAGCATCATTCATAATTTTATGTGAATATGTTTTGTGTATAAAACTCTGATGTATTAGTTGTTTTATCTTTTCATTATTTCCGTCCCCAGATCATTTAAATGTGCCGCAGCTTTTGGGGAACCAAGAAACATAGTGGTGGCGCAATGTCATTTGCATAATCTAGAATGTAGGAAATCATACCTTGTGTGAACAAAAGTTGTAAAATTGGTGATTGATAACTGGGAAACTTTACAGTCCCATCCACTATTTCAGCTTGTTGTTTTTCTTTGAGTAAGAATGTAGGACAGGATTTGTTGTCTCTGTCAAACCAGATCCACTAGAGTAAAATAGTTTAATCCTGCTTGCACCAGTACCATTCTCCAGTCTGACAACTGCAGCTACTCAGTTGTCCCCACCTCCTTCCTCCCGTCCAACTCCTGTTAAGAATGCAGTGAATCAATATTGAGTATCTGTCAGATGCCTCACTATATGTGCGCCGTCAGTTGTCACTTCCTTCACTTGTTGAAGAAACACAAGTTTCACAGCTCTAATTTCCTTGCGCAACATGTTTGAAACATACATTGTATAACCCAGACGACATTCACTTTGTAAGACAATGTGATTGTTCTTGTTGGTTGATAGATTAAGACTTAAAATGTGGAGTTTTGCAAGTGTTCTTGGTTGTTTCATTGAGTTATGCCTTTGACATAAATGTAAGAATTTTTGTTTTGGTGTAAGACGTTCAGACCAGAATTTTTGGTTTCAATATTAAGATGAACTAATGAACCATTACTATGACAAATTAGTTGTTTTTGCTCATACTCAAGTAGCTGGTTTGTAATGTTTCAAAAAAAAAATCTGAGAATCATACAATGATCACTTGACTATGACGCTGTTTAGCAAGTGTCCAAAATGTTTTAATGGCTTTTAAGTTGATTCCAAGGCCTAAATGTGTTGATTCATCACTGACCGAACAAGAAATATATAAAACAGTTAGTTTATTGAGTATTAAAACTGTTTTTCTCTTTTCTAGTGCCCTTTCTGTTTCTTTCTGCTTGAAATACTTACTGTGACAGTAAGGATAAGGATGAACACAGAAGTGTTACATGAAACCATTAGTTTCTGAAAGTACAGCATCTGACAGGCAGGTGCTTGCAGTATCATATCTGGTCGTGGACGAGTCATATGGGGCAAACAGTAACTTGCACTCATTCATGCCTCTTTTCACAACTGCTACTTGGACATATGCAGCTCCGTCCAACAGTTTAGATTTCACACATGCCTTCCGATGAGTCCTTAAATATCTGAGCTCTGTCCATAACCTGAGACTTACTGACATTTTAAATATGTAAAACATTTCCACGAATTCTGACTCAATAATGACTCTAAGTTACAAACTTCTGTAACTTGTGTTTCTGTTGTGAGTAATCAATAAGAACCATCTTCACTAACTGACAAAAAAGGGCGGCATCACTCTCTATTACACACAAGACATATCACTCATCACGCATCACTCTCTATTACACACAAGACATTCTACAAACATAAAACACAGCAGTTACATCTTATAATTGCCACACATTTAAGTTTACTGATAGTTATACACAGAATAAAAAATATCAGGTGAAGAAGATGAAATTACTTTTCTAAGTTATTGAGGGCAAACACTTTGTCCTGTTTAAGGCTTACGTTGTGTCTGGTCTGCGTCTGGAGTGTGATCCTGTGAACATGCTTTAATCTGGATTTGACCTGAGTCAGTGCAGCTTTCTGCTTCACGTGGATTTTAGGATGAAATCGCAATTTTTGTGTGTAATTTGGTATTTCCTCCTCTGCTGCATTTCCTTAATTCCTTGTTTAGTTGAAAGTTCTGTCGTGTGTTTTATTCTGTAAATCTGTGCCTTTTCTGATCTCGAATACATATTTTTTCACATGGCTTATCACCCAAAAAATACAGAAGGATACATTTAAATTCTCCTTTTTTTTTAAGCATTTTATCATTGTTCTTATCTTGTTTTTTTTACCTCTCTGTACCATAACAAAAGGTTTTTGCACATTTTGCTTAAGATGCATTGTTTAAAGAAAAGCCATCTGACACTTTTCTATTCTTTCTGTCTTCAGGTCCTTGTAGTCAGTCTGCGACCCGACACCTTTGCCTCCACTGCTTTTGCCTCACTGGATGTTGCACGACACACCTCTGAGACTCCCTCTGGTTCCCCCCACTTGCTGGACAAACCACTGAGAGTGCTCTGCGCCTGGAGAAGTGCAGCCAACTTCTGACAGCCTGTATTAGGCTTTGACTGAACCTTTGAGTCTTTTTCCTCTTTCTGTTTCCTTTACTTTGAAGTATTTCCACCCAATCATTACTACCAGACCAGCCCCTTGCTGTTTGCTTCATTGTAGAAGCAGGTGTTAATTTCTCTCCTCGGAGAGAAGGATCAACCAGTATCTCCCCAACTGGCCCCCTATTGGTGCTGCTTGAGAGGGGGAGGGAGGGGAAGGAGAGGAGTGGACTCTGTGCAGTCCATTATTTTTAACTGGAGATGAAGCTGCAAGCTGTCATGGAGAACCTGCATAGGCAGCAGAGGGCCAAGCTGCTGATGGAGCAGCAGTTACAGCTACAGCAGCAGGCTGCAGCTCAACACACACAAGTGCGTACAGGTGGAGAAGGAGGGGGCGAACTGATGGGCAGCCCAGTCACTGAAGCAGAAAAGGCCCAGATGGCAGCGCTCGCAGCCATGCGTGCTGCAGCGGCCGGGCTGCAGAGGGTGTCAGACAGCCCCATGTCGGACCGTAGCAGTGGTGGTGAAGATGATGATGTTGATGATGACGATGACGATGATGACAATGAAGAACGGGAGGAGCACTACAAGGACATGATGGGCTCAGATGAGGAAGAGCAGATGTAAGAAGTGAACATGTTTTTGGTTAATACTTGTAAAGTTTGCAGTTTCTTCTAAACTTTGTCGATCTGTTCCTACAGCAAGCGGAAATGGGACGAGGATGACTTTGAAGGTGAGATGGAAGAAGACTTTGATGATGACCTCAGGGACGAAGGTCTGCCAACAGGGCATGATGCTGTCGCTCCAGGGAAAGGGATTCTCCTGCTGCCTCACCGCCAGCTCCACCCTCACACTCAGCTGCTGAAGGCCCGTCCCACCGTGGACCAGGAGCCCCGCGTTGCTATCCTGCCTCTCCACGCTTCTCACAGCCATCTGGGCGGACAGGACCATGGGGAATGGACCTACGAAGAACAGTTCAGACAGGTAAGATCTCAAAGTCTCTCAAAGTCTTGCTTTTACCTTTGTCTTGTCCAGTATTAACACCTGGTCATCTGAGATGGGAGCGGATGTTTATTGTTCAAATGGTAATGAATTTAAATCCAAACACAAGTGTTGAAAGTTACAATGTTTTGTCAACGGTAACAAGGAAAACCCCTCCCAACTCGTTCTTAATCACACAAAGTCAGTTAAAGAAGTTGTGTATTTGTCTCTGGGCGTGGACCTAGCACAAAGCTGTCTGTTTCTTTGCTAAAGAGCAAGGTCAGTATTTGCATAGAGGGACCAGAGAAAAACAAATACAGCAATGTCTTAACCCCTCTGTGATACTCAGTAAACAGGCTGTGGCTTACATATAGACTAAATATAACAAATAAAACAGAGCTATCTGTTTGCAAGCTAGGGTTGCAGTGGGAAACCCCGGCCAAAAATCTGAAATGCTCAGCTTGTTTCAAAAATATCTCTGTATGAGGTGTATATAAGAATACCTCGGTGATTGATGCTACCTGTCAACCCACCCTGATTGAAAACCATAAACCATACAATAAAATACACCAAACGAGAGAGCAGGAGACTTACAGCACTATGATATATAATGTACAGTCACACAAGCTGTTACTGTGCAAATAGTTGAGAGCTGTGGGAAGAAATTTGTCATTAGTGTTAGAGGTTGGCGGTAGCGTAATGCAGAAATATCTTAGTGTTTATGTAATATAGGTGATTTATAATAACATTTAAGTCATTTTTAAGCATAACTGGGAGGAGAATGCAGCCATTTCCCCTTCGCTGCTTTGTCTCCTGATGAGTGTACTGGCAGTTCTAGGACTTTGCCACCGGTTTTCCTCATGTTGTTTTTTTTATAGGCATGTCAGCCAGGTCCTTCTGTCGTCTGCAGCTTCCTCTCACTGGGGAAGTTGTTAAATCCGACATGTTAGCTGTTGCTGAGGGAGCCACACATGTCCTTGCATCCCTCTCATCTAAAGAGTCACTTTCTCAGCAGTAGATTAGGGTGAGAAATTAACACCTGTCACTGGCCAAATGTAGATAAACCGTTAGATGGGACTTCGCTTTCAGTGGGGAGGGGCATGTTTCTCAGAGGTTTCAGTACATTTTTTTTTCTTGTGGAACAATCTTGTGCTGTGGCTTAAGAGGAAAGAAAATAGTTATTTCCTGTCATGAACAGGACTGAGAGCTGAGGAAGAGAGACTGAGGGCGGCAGGGAGAAGAGGGGGAAGGGGTCGAGATGCACTTAAACTGCTTTACCCTGCCAGCGTTTTCTGTAAACATGTTCAATCGCTGGACGTTACGAGGGAGGCCTCAGTGGAATGAGACGTGTTGTTTACATGACTAGATTTAAATCTGTCAACGACCACATCCATGTGGGGAGTCAATTAAAATTAAAATGACTGTGAAAGAATTATGGTTTATAATCAGTACTCTCCAGTAATTAGAAAGTAGATTTGTTCAAATAGTTTTTTCTGCATTTTGTAGTGTGGACAGTTGAATGGAGAGGTTAACAGATTACTTTGGGGTTTTAAATTCATTCCAAAATGATTTCTCACATAAAAACAAGAAAGAATTAAGGAGAAAAAAAAACATGTTCAGACCTGGTTTTAATTTCTGTCATAAATTGTCTCATGACATTACTTCTAGAGGTCTCCATTTTTGGCCATTTACATAATAAAAATCAATCTGGGGTATATAGAAAAAATAAGCATGAGAAAAACATGAAATACTTCAGTTGAAAAAGAAAATACAGTTTTTTATTTTATTTTCCTTACACACTATACACACACAGTGAAGACCTCATGTGTTAAGTGTGAATTTCCATCAAGTCCTTGTTCTAGTTCAGGCATGTGCAGCAAATAGCAGTTATCATCAAAACATGAACGGTATTTAGCAATTGTGCTGAGGGATAATGCTCTTCATTTTGTGTTAATGTTAACTAAAGGTCACAAATACATCTAGTACATCTAGGAATGTGTATTTGCTGCTGTCGTAGTGCGGTTCAAAGTATAGGTGCGTCATCATTTCCTGTATATTTAGAGGCACACTGCTGGTGGAACTATGAATATATTATATACTATGTGAAACTCTTAAACTGGGTCATAGTTTGGCACCAGTTGTGTAAAGAAAGCTTAGGTAATCTACGGTAATTGCAGTCGGTCTCAAAACACAACAAACCTGTTGCCTGTGGTAGCATTTCCAACCAACAAACATCACAGAAAGTAGAAGCAGCAGTTTCTCTTTTGACCGAAGACAATACTGTTTGAGCAGGGGAGCTGTTTGAGTGAGTAAAGATTAAAGAATAAAAGAGGTCTGTTGTTGATGCTTTAAATTAAATTCTACACACTGCACAATTTCTGCGTGTGTTTTATTTTCAACTGAAACCATAGATTGCGTAATGTGAGGCCTATTTCTTACCAATTACGGAGAATAAAGTGTACAGCTACCATAACAGCTCTGTGTTGCCTCTCTAAATAGGCCACCACTGACCCTCCCTCTGTAAAGCTTTGTGTGAGGGACTTGAATTGATACTGTCAGCAGATGCTGGTTGGTATGTGATGTAGAAAATACAGGACATTGTGTCGTAACATGTCACTCAGTTGCATGTCACTCACGCAATATTCATACATAACAGTGTGAGTCAACTCTGTGTGAGTCAGTACACACCTAAGTCAGTCACAGCTGGACCGGGCTGTTTGACTGGGTACTGTCATTGTCAACTCCAGATGAAGTTGATTATTTAACCATTGTCTGTGCTGTAGGTGGGGATATGCCTTGTTTTGGGCGTTCAGAGAATTTTGGCTACAGCGTTAGCTTTTAGTTCGCTTCGTTTGGCAAGATGTAGCAATGATTAGTCTAACAAAGAAATCAAATGTTTTGTACCAAATGAACATTTAACTGTTGGACAGGTTGCACTTCAAGTCACTGCCAACACTGGTTGATCTTTGTGTGGATTGAAACCTGTAACCTGATAGCTGTAACTATCCAACATTGTTAGTGAGCTACTGGTGCTAATTAAATAGCAATAACAATAATGCTGATGGTAAAAGCCTAACCTAATTTGTCAAGGGGAGTGAGTTGTTTGTTAATTAATTAATAAGTGTTTAAATTCAACACAGGCAGTGGAAGATAAATTAAATGAGCTATCCAGTCACAGAAGATTAACTACTGAAATTGTTTGGACATTGCTCTGGTAGTGACAAAGAACTTAGTTTGGGGAAAATGATCAAATTTCATACCTCAATTATAAGGTCAATAAACATTTAACTGAGAATTTGCTGGTATCAAAGGCTACTTTTTTTTGCTAAGAAGAACATGATGTCTGTCATGTGATGATCCCATTCATACAGAAAAACAAAACAATAAAGCACATGGTTGATATCTCACATGATCAATACCTTAATCATTAAAAGTCTAGGTTACGGAATCGTTCTTTACATTTTTTTAAAGTCATGACTTGCAAAACAAATAATCTCTCACCGAATCATGACTTTACTGCAACTTACAGGAAACACAAACTAAATCTGCAAACACATCTGTTTGTTTAACTGCCTTGCTGCTGATAATTTATATAAAGCCAGACTTTTTTCCATCCAGCACATCATTCACAATGACTAATTTTGTTTTGGATGATTACAGTGATTGGTAATAATTGCTTCAATGGTCTGTTATTATAGTCCTCAGTAAATCTGCTGTGTCTGCTGAATGTACCTTAAAAATGACTGCCCTGTTATATAATCACAGTCTGTCCCTCGATTATTTCTTACTCAATGTGAATCAAAGGCCATCATTCTTGCCCTTAATTTCATATTTGGTGTGAGCCATTTTACTTTTCTTTCCCCTAACCTGTCATTTGTGGGTTTGACTTGTCATGCAGGAAAAAGACAGACGTGAGATCTACAGACTGGCTTGAAATGCACGCAAGCTCTAATTTTCATTTGCTTAAGCGCAGACTGGCTTGAAATGCACATTCTCAGCAAGCTCTAATTTTCATTTGCTTAAGCAGGAGGTTTTCAGTCTCATAGACGTCAAGAAATCACATAAATTACAAGGGATGGACACAAGATCCAGCAGACCCAGACAGCCTTTTGGTTGTTTTATGGTAGTGAGTCACTTCACAGTCTAGTCTGCCCTCAGAAGTCATGACTCAGGGTGATATGATTGTAATAATTTTGTTTTTGTCCACTGAGATCAACTTCTCTCTGACAGAGTGGACTTGAAGGTTAATCAAACCCCACAAGGAAACATCAAAACACATCGTAATAAGGTTGAACTTTAAGGTTAAGATAGAACAGTATTGATCCTGCACTGGGGAAATTATTGACAAAAGTCTAAATACGTATTTTAGTTGAAGCTTTAGTTGCTTTTTAAATATCTTGAAGTTCTACCTTCACAAATGTAATGACCAAAAACACATATGTATACATGTACATGTGCAGTATTTTGGATGGCTGTAGGTGAGGAGGAAGGGGTTAAAGCTATACAGTTTATTTTAGGCAGGTGGGTGGAGGCTGTTGGAATGTGCCTGAGGGAGGGTGATAATGTGGCCACTAGGAACCTCAGATCCTCAGCAGAAATCTTGCGCGCCTCTATCAGTCTGTAGCAGCTGGAGCATTTCCAAACTGTAAACGGCCCTGTTTTATGTTTATGTCATCGTATGTGGTGTTGTCCTTTAGTAGTTAATGTGGTGATGCAGCCAGCAAACGTGGATTCTAGACTAAATCTTTACATTTATAATAGTCAATTTGATTGAAATAGCGTATAGTCAAATATAAATATTAGTTTTTGCTGTTAAAGGTCACCTGATTTCCGATGGCCTACAAGAAGTCCAGTTTCTTGTTAGAAAATCTTCCCACTTCAACAGTACAATTTAAATAACTCATGAAAGGGGGAGATATTGTTTCTTCACATCAACCCAGATTAATGGTTAAGAAATACCCGGAGAAACCCTGCCCTTTTGTTTGGATTTGCCCCAGGTTGTA